AGATGAGATTGTTTGGTCAGGATAGACCCATTGCCTATTCTAATATATAGTAAAAATGAGTCTTATTTATGGCCTATGAATAATATCTAAAGGATTTCTTTTGAGCCAATAGTTTAGGTTTTGTTGGTCGAAATTTATGTAGGTGTCTGTGAGGAATAGTACCTTCCATGAAGAATTAAATTACTGATGAATCATGAAATGGCCATTTTCCTCATGGAAGCTATGCAAAGCACAACTCTGAGGAGAGAAGATTTGAGCCCTCTTTCAAGGGCTTGAGTAATATTCAGTGATACCCTCCTAGATGCTCTTTTGCCCTGATCTGAACTACCCTTCATTATAAGAATTAAGTATCTTACAGGTCACCATCAAATATTCAGTTGGGCCTTTGGGACACCTGAGTGACTCAGTGGTTGAGTGTCTGCCTTTGACTCAGGTTGGGATCCCAGGGTCCTGGGATCAAGTCCCACATCAGGCTCCCTACAGGGAGCCTGCTTCTCCCTCTGCCTATGTCTCTGCCTTTCCCTCTGGGTCTCTCATGAATAAATAAAATTCTTAAAAAAAAAACATTCAGTTGGGCCTACTGAATAAAATTTATGAAGTAACAAACTAAATGAAGCAATCAGAGAAATAGAGAAAATGGACTCCTGGGCGGCTCAGTCTGTTACACATCTGCCTTTGACTCTTGTCATGATCCCAGGGTCCTGGGGTTGAGCCCCAAGTCATGCGCCCTGCTCAGTGGGGAGCCTACTTCTCCTTCTCCCTCTGCTGCTTCCCCTGCTTGGGTGAGGCCTCTCTCTATTTAATAAATGAACTCTTTAAAAAAGAGAGATGCAGAATGTAAAACATTGCACAGCACAGTCTGGTCCTTTTGAAATGGCAATATCATGGGGGAGAAAATATTAAAGTGTCATAACAAATGAATGTGATGTGTGAACCAGGATTCATCGTGATTTGGGAAAAAAATAAAAGACTAAAAAAAAGACATTTTAGAGCCAACTGGGGAAATTTGCACATGGGTATTACAGAATGATAGAGAATTATGATTAACTTCCCTAGTTATGAAAATAATATTCTGGCTATGTAGGAGAATATTCTTAGGAGCTGCATGTCAAAACGAGGGTGAAGCATCCTGCAGCCCAACATGTGTCCAAGACAAATCCTACCAGCTCAGAGCCTATTGTTAAATATTTCAGAATTTTGTGATTCCACAACCCTTGGTAGCTTGAAATCATCCATGATGGGGAGTTTTTGTACCACAAAAATCTGCAAGTGCTACTAACAAAGTCTTTTTCCTCCCCTAGAAAGGTAATTTACCATCATACCACTGCCCACAGCTTATTTTCAAATGGTTGAGAAAACAGGTACATGCAGGTAGATAAAACAAAAAAGCAAAACATTGACAATTGTTGACTTTTGGTAGAAGATTATGTGGTCACTCGTTGTGCTAGTCGAGGAGTCAGCAGACTTTCTGTAAAAACTAAAGTGTAATTTAAACTCCACAGCCCAGTACAGCCTCTGTGGCAGCTACTCACCTCTGCAGCTCTGCCACTAGAACACAAAAGCAGCCATAGACAATATTGAACAGAATGGGCACGGATACTTCCAACAAAACTTGATTTATAAAAACAGGGGGTGCATGCAAGTTGGCCCTGGGACCATAGTTTGCCTGTACTAGTCTTTGAATTTTTCTGTACTTTTAAAATATTTGATAATCAAACATTTTTTTATTCGAATTTCTTTTTTTTTTAAGATTTAATTCATTTATTCATGAGAGACATAGAGAGAGGGGCAGAGATACAAGCAGAGGGAGAAGCAGGCTCCCTATGGGGAGCCCAATGCACAACTCAATCCCAGGACCCTGGGACCACATCCTGAGCCAAAGGCAGACACTCAACTACTGAGCCACCCAGGCACCCCTTAATTCAAATTTCTTAGCGTAGTTTTCAGAGCCCTCTTGGATCCCCTAATACCTACTCCTTTAAGGTTTGTCACACCAATCTCTTTATTCCTTGGACACTGTATTCTGGTCTCCTCTGTGCCTTTGCTCAGGCTGTTCTCTTTCAATATAATTCCCTTGCTACCCTCAACCCCATGACCACTTATCAGCATTCTCATGACATGCCTCAGATCTCACCTACTTTATAAGATCTTCTTGAATCTCTTCTAATTAAAGTTGATCTCTCATTTCTTTTACTGTCCCTAGCCGTACATTTGTCCCTTGGTTTTGCTGCTTTTTACAGTATACCCTTAATTAGTTCCTGATCCATGAAGCAGAGAAGGATCATCGTACTCCTTTCACATAATAGATGTTCAGTTAATATTTGCAAATTGAAATCCATCATGCATTTATTATACACATGCCTATAGGTCCCAACCTAAAAGTCTAAAATACAGAATGTTGGCTTGTCTAACTTAGATGTGGGGTAATTAAAGATAATGACAACAGGGACACCTGGGTGACTCAGTCAGTTAGGCATCTGCCTTCAGCTCAGGTCATGATCCCAAGGCCCTGGGATCGAGCCCTACATTGAGATCCCTGCTCAGTGGGTAATCTACTTCTCCCTCTCCCTCTGCCTGCTGCTCCCCCAGCTTGTGCTCTCTCTCGCTCTCTGTCTGAAATAAGTAAAGTCTTTAAAAAAAAAAAAGAATGCAAATAGCATATTCTTCCTCCCTCCCTCCCCCTCTTTCTTTCTTTCTTTCTTTCTTTCTTTCTTTCTTTCTCCAATTCCAACTACCTTTGAGCTTGTTATGCATCAAGCTAAAATAGACTTCATCTTCTGAATGGATCAGCTTTCTAAGGGCCTGAGGAGGAAGAAGAATTAAGTCATTCTGAATATTTGTAGTGTTTTAGACACTGTCAGGTACTCTGTGCTGTCTTGCGTAGCTCCCCCACCCGCCCCCACCCCTCCGCCAACAGTCCTACAAGGGACTGATATTATCCTAAGCAGTTAAATGGTTCCTCTAAGATTATAAAGCTAGAATGGGAGTTTGAATCTGGCTGCCTCTGATATGCAGCACTATTTTGGTGCCTTCATGCATTCAGTGATTGGCACGAGTCCAGGGAATCCTAGGCTGAAATAGTCCTGACGTTCATACGCAGTGTGGCAATACCAGTGGGGCGGCGAGATTCTGGGAGAGTACAGGAATTAAGTACTGCTGGACTGGGTGTTAGAAACCCTGGCTTCTGACCACTACTGTGCCACCCTCCACCTGTGATCTTGAGTGAGCTGTTGAACTACTCTGGTCCTCTGTTTTCTCATCTGTATAATTAGAGGAATAAAGCAGGTTGTTTCTTTTATTCCTTTAAGTTACATGCAGGATGCAGTACTAAAAGTCTAATGAAGAGATAGATACAGGAATGGCGAGTCGAAGTACGACACTGTAGAATAATGCTATACTCCAGATACGCACAGGGGACTCGAGGAGCCCCAAGGAAGAGGGGCTCTCATCCCAGCCAAGGGTATTCTGCTCAAGTGAAATTTGGGAAGTTTGAAGGAAGTGGGGAATATGGGAACCACCTCAGGGGAGATGATTGCTGCAAGCAGTTTCCCTAAATAATGATGAAAGGGGGAACAAGGGTAAAAACAGGCTGGGTTCTTACCAGCTAGATCAGGAAAGGACTTCCAGGCCTACCTCGTGAAAGAGCTTGGACTCTTTTTTTTTTTTTTCTTGAAGGCTATTGGAAGTTAGTGAAGGGTTTTAAGCAAGATCACATTTGCATTTTCTAAAGTTCTCCTTGGCAGCATGACAGATGGAGTCCAGGGCAAAGAACTGGTGGTGGGAAGACTCTTTAGGAGGTGGCTGCAGAAAACAACCCAGGCAAGGGATGATGAGAGCCTGAACTAATGTAGTGGCAGTGACAATGAAGAGCAGAGGATGAATTTGAGAGCTCTAAAAGAGATAGAGCAGCAAGGACTTGCAGTCAACATGGATAGAGACCACGTCACAATCTCCGTGGCCTCAGACAACAAAGGTGTGTGTACCTCATCTCCCATGCAGGTTGGAGAGGGACTGGGGCACTCAGTGTGGTCACTCAGGAAGATATGGCCGGTCTGTAGGCCAGGGGAGAAAGCTCTGGAGGGACTCACTGGATGGTTTAATTCTGGCTGCAGCCCAGAAGTGACTTGCATCATAAGCAGCTCACGGACTAAAACTCATCCTTCCACCCCACCCAGCCTCTGGGGGCCAGAAAGTTCAGTCCAGGATGAGCGCACTTGGTACAGCCATGGTGAGTGACTGGAAATGAGGCATGAAGGAGGAACCCCCGGGTTTCTGATTTAGGGAGTTAGGCAGAGGTGTTCACTGAGAAAGAGAAGATGGATCTGGGGGAAGGGGAGGTGGACTGACCAAATCGTTATAAATCTTTTTCCCCTCCAACGTGTAACTCTTTGGTGGGTCCTAACCGGGGGTCAACAAGAGGGATGAGAAATAAACTCCAGTTGGCAAGAGTTTACTTTATTCTTTACAAAGGTGGGTTTCAGTTCATTCTTCCCAAACAGAACCTCTTAGTTTTAAAAATGGAGCGTGCAGATCTAAACTAGGTGTCTTTCTTGAATTTTCATAGGGCCCTACGGTGTCAGGATACAGCATTAAAAAAAAAAAAAAAAGTTACTAAGTAGGATGTTAATGAAGCCCTCCTCACGGAAGACCATTAGGCTGCTGAATTCAAAATGGCAGAGATGTAAATGCCCTCTGCCTTCATTACCGCCATCCCCCAGCAGGGCACATTTCAAGATATCGAGGGGTGGGAGTCGGGAGGAGGTGTAATTAGGCTGATTGGAGCCTATTGTGTGCTGCTCTGGAGCGCAGACACCTAGCAGCCTTAGGGAATGTTCGTGCCTCAAAATCACTGGGGAATGGTGTCCTCTTTACCTCAGAAGGGCGTAGCAGGAACAACGAATCTCCACTGTCTCCCCCCTTCTTTGTCTTCCACCTCCCCTCCCCAATTTAATTGTGGGACCTTAAAAACTGACTTTTATTGTGCATTTGTTTCTTAACAGTTGCGAGAAACAATCAAAGCTGGCAAAGGTGTGACTTCAGCTATTGACCTGTGTCGTTACCATGGAAACAAGGCACTGGAGGCCCTGGAGAGCTTTCCTCCCTCGGAGGCCAGATCTGCTTTAGAAAACATTGTGTTTGCTGTGACCAGATTTTCGTGACACCAAATTAAAAAGACACTATTGTTCGTTAGCTGCAAAAACTGGGGAACGAGGTGATTGAGAGAGAGAGAGAGAGAGAGAGAGAGAAAGAGAGCGAGCTTTCATACTGAAATATCGGAATGTGTTAATGACTTTAAAAACCTAATACATTTTTTTTCCTTCCTCTTATCACATCGCTAAAAGAATACTGCCTCCTTTTTGGAACTGCTACAAACAAAATTAGAAGAAAAAAAAGGTCAAGCAGTTTTCACTTGTCACGCCAGAAGCACACTTGAGGCTGCAGTAGCAGAAATAATTAATGAGATTCGCTCCTGTGACCTCAGCAAATGGACAGGAAATAAGTCCTTATTGATTGGACCGAGCCAGGGATGGCGCCAGGGCGGTGGCCTGTGGTTTTCCTTCTAGAGAGGACAGAGCATGCTGGAAGCTGCAGGTGTCAAGAGGAACACATCAGTGCCAGCCGGGGAGGACTGTCAAATCAAAAACTAGTGACCAATTTGTCATAATGGAGGGTACTTTTGATGATTACGGGAAAAAATTGTGCTTTGTTTTGCAATTATGTCTGTATTTATAGGTACAGTATGAATATACTTTGCGCTTCATCGTTTTTTGTAAGATTTTTTTTTTTAGGAAAAATTGCTGAAAAAATAATGCCAAATATTTGAAGTAGGAGATTAAAATGTTATCAAATGTTAACTTGGTTGTAGTAGGAATAGCTTGTTTTTCTTTCTAGAAGACGAATGTTTTTCAAACACATTTCAAAGAACCAAACTTTTTTTTTTTTTTAAGCCAAACAAGATGCTTCTTTTCAAGTCCAATGCATTAATTTGTCATACTTTGGTGTAGAGAATACCTTTAACTTTTACGAGTGTCACGTGCAAAACTGTTGTTCTGGGGAATAAACTGGTGATTTTTTTTTTTTTAATTCAGAATGTCAAATTTTGATCTTGAACCACAGACATCCAATTACAGAAAGAATATAAGCAATCTCACAGGCCTGCAATCAGACACTGTCTCTCTGTGGTTCATAGGAGATGATTTTTGTGGTTTGCATGCATGCAATATGAGAACACCGTTGACAAGAAGGCTGAGTTTACATAAATGATCTAGATTGAGACTCAGCTACCTTTCTTCCTTATGTGGTGTAATTACAGCCCTATCTGGAGACAGTGAACACAGCAAACAGATTTTATTACCCCCTTCACTCAAACACTAAGTGAAGTTATTTTAGTTAAATTCCTTCCCCCCAAAGTTACGAAACCATTTTATCAGGACCCAGCATGTGGCATTCAATGAAGAGAAAACGTGAGCTTCAGAGGTTTAAGGTATTGTATTATGAAATATTTTTAATATACTTTAAATATTATGATTGTACAGTTTATACCACGACAATTTGAAGGCCTGTAGATTTAGCTTAAGAGAACACTTTTCTGTTTGAAATGGTCTTTTCTCACAGACATTGGCTTAATTAGTAACTTTGGTTAGATGCTTGAGATCAGACTGGGTTTTAATCATTAACTTCCGCAAAGGAGGAGTCGTGCCTTGTGTTCTCTAGCTGTGCAGGAACTCACCCCAGGCTGTAGGTTTTATGAAGCAGATGGAGGAGTACTATAAGGCAGGGTCCTAGGCTGCTTCGAATTCTGGTTTAGCAGCTGGTTTGCTGTGTGACCTGGAGCAGGTCACTCCCCTCTGAGCCTCCATCTCCTCATCTGTTAAATAAATGAGAGAATGTCTGAAGTCCCTTCCAGCTTTGTCTTCTTTTCTAAAACTCTGCCATTTCTGACTCTGGATCACAAAGTCTCCAGTCTAGGCCTAGGTGTTCCTAGCTCTCTTTTGTGCGGCCTGTAATCCTGGACTCCTCTGTGTCAGCACCTGCTTTTCTGCTTTCTCGGGGACCTTTCCTAGCCTGGCTCAGGTGTCTCACCCTCAGTGTTGAGTGACGACCCTGCCTCCGGCTTTCCGGCTTCCCTGCTCAGCAGAGCTCCCACTTGCCAGCCTGCTGGCAGGCTTTAGTTAGACCTAACAAGTTGGCCAGTTCACTCTCCAGTTTTATTTATTTTATTTTATTTTATTTTATATTTTAAGATTTTATTTATTTATTCATGAGGGACACAGAGGGGAGGGAGAGAGACAGAGAGACAGAGAGAGAGGCACAGACAGGCAGAGGGAGAAGCAGGCTCCATGCAGGGAGCCCGACATGGGACCTGATCCCGGGTCTCCAGGATCACACCCTGGGCTGAAGGCGGCACTAAACCGCTGAGCCACCCGGGCTGCCCCACTCTCCAGTTTTAAATAGTGAGAGCCTTTCTTCATGCCCCTGATATTTGTTTGTTAACTCTTATGTCCTTATAATTTCAGATAATTTAGGGAGAAATTTGGGGCACCGAGGCATGCCTCATCACACCTCGTGGCCTACCACCTGGCTGTAGCCAGGGACATCACTGCTGACTAGGTAAGACCCTGGTCTCAGAATGCTCCCTCCACCCCCTCTCCCACCCCCCAGTTTCTTGCCAGAGGAAAGCATTCACTAGCCATCGCTGCTCCCTTCCGCCTGATGACCCCAGCTTGCAAGTTGGCCCCTCCAGACCTCATCACTTCAGGCTCCTGAAACCACCTACACTCTCCTCCCTGTCAGTCTTGTCTTCGTTAAGTGTGTAAAGGCTGCAATATTGCATGCCAAGTGCATGCTGTCTTGTTCCAGGCCCACAGCCATGCTCTGGGAGGTAAGCCCTGGCCTTTATTATTTTTATTTTTTTTTAAGATTTTATTTATTTATTCATGAGAGACACAGAGAGAGAGAGAGAGAGAAGCAGAGACACAGGCAGCAGGAGAAGCAGGCTCCATGGCAGGGAGCCCGACGTGGGACTCAATTCCGGGACCCCAGGATCAGGCCCTGGGCTGAAGACGGTGCTAAACCGCTGAGCCACCCGGGCTCAGCCCTGGCCTTTAGAGATGCAGAAGCAGGCCCAGGAGACCATCTCCGACCACCTGACCTGCCCTCACTCCCCATCTCCCCACCACAGAATCTCTCCAGGTAGCTCCCCCTCTCTCTTCCTCTGCTTCTCTTTCCTCCTTTCAAAGATCCGGAGCCCGTAGCCTCCTGTCTCCTTTGTGCCCCCATGCCCAAATCTTCTGCATCTGCTCTGCTGGCTGTATGTGTTCCATCCTCCCAGTCCCTACAATGGAATTCCTCCCTTCAAGTTGTCTATCTTTTCTACCTCCACTTTTTTTTCTTCTCAGCTTCACCAACACCTCTTCTCTCAGTCTACTGACTCTTTAACCCTTGGAAACCCATTCATTACCAGGTCCCCCTGACCTAGACCAGCGCCAGTGCCTTGGACACTCCAGGAATGCTCGTGGAACAGATCTATCGGGTCTCTGGCCACACAACCCTGAGATGGCCTTCCAACGGATGGTGGCCTTTCTGTGAAGTTCAAGAGCTCCATCCCTGCATGCAGACTCCCCACACAGCCTGCCTCCTTCAGGAGCAGTGGTAGTCACTCCCCCTCAGCCCCTACCCACCTCTCTGCAGGCCCTCCCCCTCTGCTCCCACTGTCCTCCTTCACACCTGACACATCTCTTAGTTGTACCCTTGGAGCCATTCTTTTCTAAACATTTCCATTCTAGGGGCACCTGGGTGGCTCAGTAGTTGAACATCTACTTTTGGCTCAGGTTGTGATCCTGGGATTGAGTTCCCCATCAGACTCCCCGCGGGGAGCCTGCTTCTCCCTCAGCCTATGTCTCTGCCTCTGTGTCTCTCATGAGTAAATGAATGATAATAATAAATAAATAAATAAATAAAATCTTTAAAATAAAATAAAATCTTTAAAAAATAAACTAAAAAATATTTCCATTCTGTTTCCCCAGAAACTTAAAAGCAGTGCCCCCACTAAGTTTTCTTTTCTTTTTTTTTTTTAAGATTTTACTTATTTATTCATGAGAGACAAAGAGAGAGAGGCAGAAACATAGGTGGAGGAAGAAGCAGGCTCCACGGAGGAAGCCTGATGTGGGACTCGATCTCAGAACTCCTGGATGAGGACCTGAGCTGGACACACATGCTTAACTGCTGAGCCACCAGGGTCCTCCACTAAATTTTCTTTTCTTAAATTCCCCAACTTAGAAAACCTGTTTCCTGGCATAAAAAGAAAAAAAAAAAAAACAGTATCAATAAGGTATCCATGAGATAGCGAGCTGTTTGCCATTCACAATTACTTTGAAAGAAGATACAGTTTATAACTATCATTAAACTTTTTTGTAAGTTTTGCTTGATAACACTAAATCCTCATCATGTTTTCTGGCTCACACAGTGTGGTTATCTAGGCACACCTAAAAATAAATGATCAGTGTCATTGTTTGCCTAGTCCAGGTCTCATTCTCCAATGTTTGAGACTTTATTTTACCCATGACAGTATTATCGCTCTGACCCAGGATGTGGGTGACATCAACAAGTTGGGGTAAAAGACATATACATTAGTACAAAATGCTCTCAGAAGAGACTGTCTTTAGGTCCCGTATCCACAACACATTGCACTCCAGTGACCAGAAAGTAGTTGGAATAATCCGTGATGATCTTTTTTCAAAGCCTGACCATGTGCTGTGACCATGGCCCTCTTTGGGCAAGCAAGTTTGGGGAAATTATGTGTAATCAACAAAATCGCAGCTAAAGGATATTTCTCCTTTTTTTTCTTTTTTAAGACTAGCTAACTTTGGCCCAGGGCGCGATCCTGGAGACCCTGGATCGAATCCCACGTCAGGCTCCCGGTGCATGGAGCCTGCTTCTCCCTCTGCCTGTGTCTCTGCCTCTCTCTCTCTCTGTGACTATCATAAATAAAAAAAATAAAAAAAAAAAAAAAAAAAAAGACTAGCTAATCAGCAAGTTCATCATTGATAAAGAGAACCTTGCTTTATAGAAAACCATTGTCAATCTCCTTCGTAGAGTTCTTAGCTTCAGGAAGATCCTTTCCAGCCACTTCATTTTGTCTTCCCACTTTGAAATCCTATAGTTAAGATCACCTTTCTGACCAATAGAAGCTGCAGGATTTATCTTTATAATCTGTACTGACTGCCTCTCTAGGTAGAGAAGACCTGCCACACCTTTGTTAAAGCACAAAAGGGCAGAAATGAATTGGACTGGTTCTTCCATTCATTTTACTGGGAGGACATAATTGTCATCCCATTATAATTAATAGTTTCCATTATTGTTAATCACGGTTTAGTAATTATAAAGCTATTTGCACTTTCTTTAAAAAGCATAAATCAATCTAACAAAATAACCATTTGCCTCCTTTTCTTCCCTACCTTCAGTCCTGATCTCAAGTGTGAACTGTTTTATTCTTTCAGAATGGGTTTTGCCTCTCCATTAAGGAGATAGCATACTTCTAAAGGACTGAAAAACAAGTCTCATTTGGGGAGAGTCCCCAGAAGGGCCAGAACTGCTGGTGGGATCCTGGTCTTTCCCTAGCTCACCCCACCTGCCCTTGGGCTCTGAAGTACTAAGTTTTCAGCTCCCCTGGTGGAAGAATGTTCATATTTCTTTCTTTTCTGTAGAAAGAAAAAGTTTCGGGCAGCCCGGTGGCTTAGCGGTTTGGTGCCTGCCTTTGGCCCAGGGCCTGATCCTGGAGACCGGGGATCGAGTCCCACATCGGGCTCCCTGCATGGAGCCTGCTTCTCCCTCTGCCTGTGTCTCTGCCTCTCTC